CTTTAAAAAGAGATAAGTCGGTGTTTATCTGGCCTTTGAAGGAGCTCTAATCCGAGCGACACTGTTGGCAGCGGCCGCGTTTCCCTGGGATTCAGCTTGGGCAAGCGCGTATTGATCCATTACATCAGGAATAATTGTTCGGGGTTTGAAATCTATCAAGTATTGGAAATTCAAATTAAGCCATTTGCGCAGTTCTGTTTAATGAGGGTTATCAGCCGAGGGGTCGTTTATTAGTAGCATCCGGGGGCCTCCTCACCCTCTCTTTGCCAATCCTGCAGGGGGCCGAGGTCTCTCTCCGTGTGCCCCCAGATGCCATCAGCTGTGCCCCCTTTTGTTTTCTGTCCCTTTGTCCTGCCAGTGGCCCAGTTGCGAGCCCTCTTTCCGGGTCGGTTTCTCTGCTGTCCTCTCTCCCCATTGCTGCATCCCCTTTCTTTCCTGACTTCCCTTCCAGCCTTTTTTTTTTTTTTTTTTTTTTTGGACAGGCAGAGTTGGACAGTGAGAGAGACAGAAAGGTCTTCCTTCCGTTGGTTCACCCCCAAAATGGCCTCTATGGCCGGTGTTGTGCTGATCCAAAGCCAGGAGCCAGGTGCTTCTCCTGGTCTCCCATGCAGGTGCAGGGCCCAAGCACGTGGGCCATCCTCCACTGCCTTCCCGGGCCACAGCAGAGAGCTGGACTGGAAGAGAAGCAACCGGGACAGAACTGGCGCCCCTACCGGGACTAGAACCTGGAGTGCCGGCACCACAGGTGGAGGATTAGCCTAGTGAGCCACAGCACCGGCCCCTCTCTTGGTCTTGCATTCACCCTGTCTGCCAGCAACACCAAGCCCCGCAGTGTTACCAAACTGTCTCCTGTCAGAAGCCCCTGGAACCCCACGGCCGCCCGGCCTCTGGCAGGTTGCAGGTGGACAGCAGGGCCGCCTGGTTCTGAAAGTGCACTGCCCCTGCTCAGGCCTGACGCTTGTTTCTGGCCTGGAACTTTGTCCCCGCCTGCTAAGGGGGAGGTGGGGGTCGTGGGCCAGCTCTCTTCTCTGCCGCTGTGGCTTCTGAGCAGTGTGATTTTGGGTTCTCCAGAGTGGAATGGTCCACTGCTCAGGCAAGACCCCTCCCGGGAGAGACTCTCACCGTCTCTGCGGGGCTGTGTCACCCTGGGGTTTCTTGTAGGAGTCCAAGGACCAGACTGGAGACAGCTGGAGAGAAGGAGCTGGCCAGAGCTGGAGAGGGAGGTGGGAAAGGGAGCTATTGAAAAGATCTTCCTCCTCTTCCTCCTCTTCTTCCTCTTCCTCTACCTCCTCCTTCCTCCCTTACGTTTCCCCCCATCGACACCCAAGGCTTTGTTGAGGCCCAGTCCCCTAAATTCCCACAGGAACATCTTCATTCCTCTTTCTTCCAGTTCTCTCTGCTTCCAACTCAGGAACCCAATGAGATTCCCAGGAAGCTCCCTGCAGCCCCTGTTGCTCTCTGCCAGCCACTGGCTACTTTTTGGAACCATCCGAGAGCCCCGTGTCACTTTAAAGAAACTTGGTTGCGAGGCAAGGCGTTAGGAAGGACAGCCCCAAGTAAGACTGTGGCCGGGAAGGGCTGGGAAGGGCAACGTGATGAGATGCTGGGGCCATGTTTCCTGCCAGTGCTGAACTTGGGAGGTGGTGTTGATCACTCAAGTGATTGGATTTCCGCCACCCATGCAGAACACCTGGAATGAGTTCCTGGCTCCTGGCTCTGGCACAATCCAGTCTCAGCCAGTCCTAGCCATTGTGGGCATTTGTGGAGTGAATCAGTGGGTGGAGAGCCCTCTCTCTTCCTCGAACAAAAATATGGGTGTTTATCATTCCCCATCGTGGGTATCGGGCCTGGTGGGTCCAGAGCCTCACCTGCACCATCAGAGCCCCATCTCCTGAGAGGCAGTGTTAGCTAGTGGTTGGCACTGCCTGGATTCGGATCCTGTTCCTAACAGCTTTGTGCCTTTGTTTTCTCATTTGTAAATGGGGCTAAAATAACACTATATCATAGGGTCCCTGTGAATATGAAGTGAGCTCATATAGGCAAAGGTTCTTTGATCAGTGTGGAACATGCAGGAAGTGCCGTGTGAGTTCAAGCAGCTGTATTAGTTTCCTATGATTGTCATAACACACAGACTGGAGAGTCTGAAACATCAGAGACGTGTTGTCTCACTGTTCTGGAAGCTAGAAACCCCGGATGCGGGTGGTGGCCGAGCCTCTCCCTTGGGAACCTGCAGAGGCCCCGTCCTTGGCTCCCCATAGCTTCTGCTGGCCCGCCAGCCATCTCCAGCCTTCTTGGCTTCTACAGGAAGCTTCACTCCAACCCTCTGCCTCCACACGGCATTTCCTGTGCCTGTCTTCACATTTTTTTTTAAATATTTTATTTATTTATTTGAGAGGTGGAGTCACAGACAGTGAGAGAGAGAGACAGAGAGAGGTCTTCCATCTGCTGGTTCACTCCCCAGATGGCTGCAACGGCCAGAACTGCGCTGATCTGAAGCCAGGAGCCAGAGATTCTTCCCAGTCTCCCATGTGGGTGCAGGGGCCCAAGGACTTGGGCTGTCTTCTACTGCTATCCCAGGCCATAGCAGAGAGCTAGATTGGAAGAGGAGCAACTGGGACTAGAACCGGCGCCCATATGGGATGCCGGCGCCGCAGGCGGGTTATTAACCTACTGCGCCACGGCTGGACCAGCCCCCACACTCTTTTCCTTTTGTCTGTCTCTGTATCCAAATTTCCCCATTCCCCCCCTGCCCGTTTTTATAAGGACACCAGTTCTATTGGATTAAGGCCCCCTCTAATGACCTCATGCTAAGTGGATTACTTTGGTAAAGACCCTATTTCTGATACTGAGTTAGGATTTAACATGTCTTTGGTTGGGGACACAGTTCAGCCCTTAACAACAGCTATTATTCAAACTTTGTGTCTCTCTCCGAACCTCTTATTTTGTTTTCAAAGATTTATTAATTTATTCGAAAGTCAGAGTTATGGGGAGAGAGAGAGAGGGAGAGACAGAGAGAGAGAGAAGTCCCAACAGCCAGTGCTGAGCCAGGCTGAAGCCAGGAGCCAGTAGTATCATCCAGGTCTCCATTTGGGAGAGACAATTGGGTCATCTTCTGCTGCTTTTCCCAGGAGAATTAGCAGGGAGCTGGATTGGAAGTGGAGCAGCCGGAACACGAACCAGCGCCCATAAGGGATGCTGGCAATGCAAGTGGCAGCTTTACCCGCTACACCACAGCACCCGCCCCTCTCCATTCTTTCCTTACTTTCCTCTGGGTTGGCTTCAACCAACGGCAGAAGTGAGGTTTAGTTCTGGGCTTCTAGTCTGCTTAGTATCTTCTCTTCCCTCCTAATCGACGGGGCAAGAGTCTGTGATTGTGTCTGACTGGCTCAGCATGGAACACGTGCCCACTCCGGAGCCCGTCCCTGTGACCAAGAGAGGATGATGCGCCCGACTGGGCTCAGCCCTGCGCCATCCGCGTGGAGTGCGAGTTAGCAGAGGCAATGGCCCATACTGAAGACCCAGGTCTTGCTCCCTGGAGAAAGGATTCTGAGCGAGCAAGAGAAAGAGAGAAGCTTGAAAGCATTGAAAGAGCACTGAAAGGCCAGGGTGCCTTGCGACGTTGCCTGTTCCGGGAGGGGAGCAGGAGTTATGTGCCTTTTGCTGGGAACACTTGAATGGTAATTCATACTGTGGGTGGGGAGTGGACCAGATCCACGCCTTTCAAACATTGACTTACGGTGGCCCACAGAAATGGAACTATACCATGAGCACACACACACACTGAAATAAAACTCCCACGAAGCCCTTTTACCTTTACCGTGACAATGCGCTCTGACATAGTCCTTTCTCTTCTACTCCATTTTTAAAAGACTCTCATCTCAGTCACTCGCTGTCCCAGCCTGGAGTTTGGAAACCTGGACCAGAGGACTCTGCAGTCTCTGCAGTCCAGTGTTTCTGGGATTCCGTGACAGCCACCATGGGGCCAAGGGGACAGGAAACGTGTTTGGTGTCACCAGATTTCACCTGCGTGAGCCGAGCTGACCGAGCCCTGGAGCCCGGCCCCCTGCCGCTCCCCGATCTCTGCTGGCTGCCTTCAGTCTATAAAGCGGAGATTTCGTGACCACATCGGTCCTTTGCCCAGGTGCCTTCAGGGGTTCCTCGTTGTCTATGGGGTAAAGGTTTTGTGCCCTCATCTGCTGTCCCCACTTCCCGGGATCCTCTGCCCTCTGAGCCACCCCTCACCTCGCCCCAAGCCACACCTTCGGTCTCTCCATTGCACCTTCTCTGAATTCTCCCATCGCCCAGCTGTTACGCCAGCGTCCTTCTTCCAGGATGCCTTTTCTGCCTCGTTCTCTGGCTGCCGGGGACCTGGTACCTTTCTGGGTCCTCTCAGCTTTATACTGATCCCATTCTCCCTGGACACTGAATCACTGACGGTGAAGGCTGTACGACTTGTGAGTTTCCTATGGTACCTAGCCTGATGTGTCCAGAGAAGATTCTCAGTAAATGATTAAAGAATTGTTGGATGGATGGACGGATGGACAGATGGACGGATGGCTGGATTCCACAGTGCTGAATTTAACTAATTTATGCATTCATTCAACATTTATGTATTGAGATGTGCCTGCTGCGTGCAAAGCACTATTCCAGGCACTTCTGGGGATGCCACATTGAAGAGAGCAGACAAAGACCTCTGCTCTGATAGCGTGTACTCTCCAGCTGAGGGAGACAGTGAACCCAGCAGTGCATGGTGTGCTAGGCGCTAGGAAGGGCTAAGGAGAGAAATGAGACAGGGAAGAGGGTAGGGAAGGGAAGGGGAAGGGGACCAATGGATGGATGGAGGGGAAGGGAGGCAAGGGGGAGGGAGAGAAAAAGAGGAGGGGGGTGGGTTGCAAGAAGCAGGACTCCCCCGAGAGAGCTGGGAAGTGATGCAGTCACAATGGAGGCCACGGCCTGCCCTGCAGGGGGCGCTGACGGACCCGTTCTTTACAAGTGTTCTGTGTTGAGGGCAGGGGCGGGGCCTTGCCCCCCTGTGTTGATCAGGCATTGGGTGCAGGCTGCCCAGGGAAGGGGGCGTGACTTTAGGTGAGGGGACAGTCCCTGAGGGGCTGGGGGCTGGTGCCGTGCTCACACCGGGGTTGGGGGACGCACCCTTTATTCTTGAAGGGGAGGGGCGTGTCCATCAGGGCACCCCCAGAGCCTGGTAAGGTGAGGGGACCATTGTGACTCAGCGTGATCCAGGACGACCCCGGAGGGGTTTGAGAAGTGACAAAGCTGCCCTTAACACTTTCAGAGGCTCCCTCGGCATGCTCTGGGAAGGAGGCGCTGTGGAGCCACTGGGGGAAGCAAGGAGATGGGCATGAACCAAGCGCACACGGCCCGGGCGGCAGGTGGCAACCGCGCGGACCAGCGTGGCAGCACCAGGGGGTGAGCAGCCTTCGGATTGCGGGGATGTGTCTGGAAGGCAGGACTGCTGGGGTTTGCTGGCAGAGTTGACCTGGGGCTCCGGAGAAGTGGGAGGGGCAGGGATGACTGAGGATTTCCGCAGGAACAGTGCCGAGGGCCGAGCTGTGACTCCCCCAGGCGGGGAAGCCTTGGTGTGCAGGAGTAGGGAGCAGATGGGGTGCTGGGGTGGCTGGCAGGCAGCTCCAGCGGCATCCAGACTCTGGCGCGCAGGATATGGGGGTGGCTGGGGTAACCTCTGTCTCAGACACAGGGTCCCCCTCTCCTGGACTTGTCCAGGCAAGGACTGAGCCCCAGTGGGCATGCTCAGGAGGATTATGGGACAGCCCTCAGCCCCCACCCGCCGAGGGCTGATGGCCCCGTCCTTGAACTGGGGAGCTCAGACTTGGCCTTTGCTGCTGAGACAGGTGCTACACGAGTTGCTTCCAGGATCCCTTTCCTGCTGTGATTTCTGGAACTTTCTTGGTCCTGCCTGGGTGTTCCTGTCTTCACCGCTCTGTGTCTACCCCTCTTGTGCCACGTCTCCCAGGGAGATTTTCCTGGAACTTCCTCATTTTATTCTCTGTCTCCTCAAACTTCTGGAGGAGATTAGCAGCACGCACCCTGAAGAGGAGAGGGGCATTGACAAGATGAATCCTGACACAGATAATTACGTGACTCCTTTGTAGCTCGGCGCCGAACATGGCTCCACACTGTCAGTTCTTATTTTATTCAAGTGCTGGGGTAGAGCGCCTGCCGGGGTGGGGTGGGGGGAGTTGGGGGAGAAGGGGAGAAGGGCAGCGGGCTGCAGACCGGAGGCTGGCTGGACCCCTGCGGCTGGGGTCTTCCGGGGACTGGGCCGCAGGGCCGTGTCCCTCGCCTTCCTTTGCTCTGGGGACCCAGAGAGTCTCCAACATGGACCGGCAGATGTGCGAGGGGCTTAAGGGACCACCACATTGGCACTGCCTGCCGGGCTGGGAATCTCAGCCTTAATGAACGCTGAGTTTCTTGATGAAGCAGGCACGGGCTCGTCCCTCCTGGGTGAGAAGTGGGAGCCACAGGCAGAAGGCGGGGTCGCGGTGACCTTGCAGGATTGCGCCGCAGCCGGCTCTCCTTGGGGTTCCTCGCCGTCGTAGCTGACAGGGCCTCTGCCCTCCACGCCCTCCAAGCGTGCTCTCCGTGACGCTTGGCAGCTGCTCACCGGGCTGCTGTGCAACGTCCTGGCTCACGGCCTGCTTTGGGATCAGGAACCAAGTGTTCCTGGGGTGCATGGTGTGGGTGTCCCCGTGGACGGGCCACATGGCCGAGCCTGTGGTGTCCTGGCCCCTTTGCCTGGGGTGACCTTTCTCAACATCCCAGTGTTGACTGTGTGACATCCAAGGCCCCCATCAGCACCTTGCTCCAGACTTCAGAATCCTTCTCAACACCATCTCCATCCATCGCCACGGAACGATGGCCACTGGCAAGACAGGAAACATATTTACCATCCCTGATCGAGAACAGGGAACCAAAATTTACCCAGTGTTTGTTTTAGGGGCCCTGGAGTTCAGCTTGTGTGCACCCTAGCCGTGGGCACGGGAAGTCAGTCTGATCACTGCTTCATAATGTCCGGTCACCGTGTGCGGTGCTCTGCATTGGAAGGACTGATGGACACCCCCCTTCCTACAGGCTGTGTCGAATCTCCCTTCAGCCATCCACACCGTGAGAATTTGCACGTGGACGAAAGCCTGTGTCTCTCATGGTAAAGGCCTTACCATGGACAATCATGCCCTGTCAGTCACCTCAGGGAGCAGCGGGGGAACCAGGAGCCCCGGCCCAAGTCCTCACTCAGGCAGTCTGCTGGGAAACCCACTGCCTGGGGCCCAGGGGCTTCTTGCTTCTGTAGCTGGGATGCTCCACTTGGCCCTCCCTGCATGGAATAGCGTTGCCAAGAGTCAAGATCTATTTCCAGAGAGATGATGGGAGCCGGTCTCCTGGAGAAGTGAGCCGGCTTGTTCTGGGAAGGCCAGAAGTCAGTGACTTCTCTCAGCCTCCGTGCCCTCATTTGTAGAATGAAGAAATAGCACCTGCCCCACTTGGAGCATTCCAGAGGCCTGGATTTTGATTCTATAACTTTCTGTGTTATTAATTTTAATTTTTTAATTTTCATTTTATTTGAAACACAGAGGGGTACAAAGAGAGACATGGAGAGATCTTTCATCTGCCAGCTCACTCTCCAAATGTTTGCGACAGCCAGGGCTGGGTGGGGCCAAAGCCAGGAGCCTGGAACTCCATCAGGGTCTCCCGCATGGATGGCAGGGACCCGAGTACTTGAGCCATCATTTACTGCCTCCCAGTATGTGCATTAGCAGGAAGCCGGATCAGAACTGGAGTAGCGGGGACTGGAGCCAGGCACTCAGGTATGGGATGTGGGCGCCCCAAGCGGTGACTTAACTGCTGTACCATACACCTGCTCCAGTGGCTACTGCTTTAGGACGAGTGCCCGAGGGTAGGCTAGACATGCTGAAGGCCAAACACAGAGTCTGAATATTTATCAGGTCACCCAACTAGCTAGCACCTGCTGGTGCGGACCGCCAGGTGGGTGAGTTAGGTGAGCAGGAGTCAGCTTCTGCCGTCCGGGATCTCACACTCATGAGATGCAGGGTAGAAGGGAGGGCTGCCCTAGGAGAGGTGCAGAGACTGCTCCCAGAGGGCTGGGGGAGGGCAAGCCCGCCTGAGGCGGGGGCGTGCAGGCCTGAGAGAGCGTTAAGGAAGCAGTGGTCTGAGCAGAGCCCTGCAGCCTGGCTGGGGTTGGGAAGAGAAGCCAACAGGCAGCACACTGTCCTTCCCGGGGCTTGGCACCCTGGAGACGTCCGGGGAGGCACCTCCCTCACTACTGCTGTCTTCCTCGGGCCCTCCGGCCATCACACAGGGTTTACCAAAGCCCCCTGGGGACAGAAGGAAGGGCAAAGACCTGCAGGATGGGGGCTTTGTCATAGCTCTGCTCTGAGATCCCCAGAGCCAGGCCAGGCATCATTTTGAGGCAAGGCACAGAAGTCCACTGTGATCACAGGTTAAGGAAAAGGGAGGGAGTTGGCTGTTAGGTATGGACTAGTTCGGGGTTCTCGCCTTTTGTACCCCCAGAAAGTAGAGATGGAGAAAGGAGACGGAGACCGACCTCATCAGAGACGGGTGTTTTATTGGAAGCAAAGAGGTTGGCGACAGTCTGTTCTTGCGAAGAGACTGTGTGCTGGGCGCATTTAGAACTCAGGTTTTTATCCAGTTAAGGAGGGAATTTGCCACTTCTGGGGGAGGGGGGATGGGAGGGTGGTTGAAGGCTCTTTGAAGTCTCAGGGAACTTTCCCCTTACCTGTTTCATAGCTGCCCTGCACAGCTTTTCTGCTTTGCCATTTGCATTGCAAGGAGTTGAAAAGGGCCTGGTTAGGCACCAAGGATCTCCACAAAAGGGAGGAAATGGGGTGGGGGAGGGAGGAGGGAAAGGTGCCACAAGTCCCTTACTGGCACTGTGGCATAGTGGGCAAAGCTGCCTCCTGCTGCACTGGCCACCCACATGGGTGCTGGTTTGTGTCCCAGCTGTTCCACTTCCAATCTAGCTCCCTGCTAACAGTTGGGAAAAGCAGCGGAGGATGACCCAAGTGTTTGGGTTCCTGCCATCCATGTGGGAGACCCGGATGAGGCTTCTGCTCCTGGCTTCCACCTGGCCCAGCCCTGGTCATTGCAGCCATCTGGGGAGTGAACCAGTGGATGAAAGATATCCCCTCCTTTTCTCTCTGAAACTCTGACTTTCAAAATTAATTTTAAAAATCTTAAAAAGAAGCAAAAGGGACCGAGGCAGACGCTGGGGACTGCCAGGTGTCCGATTACAGGCACGGGAAAGACCTGAGACAGCTCCTTGGGGCACTTTGTCGCCTGCCCCGTGGCGGGCTGGCTTCTTCCTTTTGCACACCGGTTCCTCCTGCTTGCTCCCAGGCTGCCTCTCGCACTCACTCAGAGGCTCGCACGTGGCCCGTCAGTGCCTCCAGGAAGGTGACCTCCGCCCACCAGCTTCCAAGGCCTTCCTACCCCAGTCCCTGCGGCTGTTGGCCAGTGTCAGAGAGTTCGATTCCAAATTCGTCAGGGAGAGACTCAGATGGGGTCAGCTTCGGTGAGCCATCTGCCGCTGGCCCAATCAGCTACAGCAGGGCCCGACTCAGGCCCTTAGGCATCGTAGGGCTGTGCCCTTCCAAGCTGTTTTTCCAAGAAGAGATGGTGGGGAAGTGATGAGCCCCTCCAGCAGGAAGAGCTTCCATCTCCTGCATAGGCTGTGGGCACCCACACCCGCTCCACAGAGGACAGGCCTGTGGGCCTGCGTCTATTCCTGCCGCCGTCAGTGGGATTGCGGTAAACACACCATGAATTACTGAGCAAGGGCGACCCTACACAGCCTACCTGCCGCCTTTTCTCTCTAGACCTCATCAGCCCATTTAAAAAAATGCATTTATTTATTTATTTGTGAGGTAGAGTTAGAGAGAGAGAGAGAGAGAGAGAGAGGTCTTCATCTGCTGGTTCACTCCCCAAATGGCCACAACCGGTGGAGCTGGGCTGATTGGAAGCCAGGAGCCAGGAGCTTCTTCCTGGTCTCCCACATCGGTGCAGGGGCCCAAGGACCTGGGCCATCTTCTACTGCTTTCCCAGGCCATAGCAGAGAGCTGGATCGGAAGAGGAGCAGCCGGGGCTAGAACCGGTGCTTCAGGCCAGGGCTTTAACTCACTGCGCCACAGCGCCAGCCCCCTCATCAGGCCATTTTAAAAGAAAGTTTTGTGGCTCAGTTAGAAGAAGGAATGATGGAGGCAGCTCCCTTCACTCCCTCACTCCCTCCACTCCCTCCACTCCCCAGACCAAGTCCTCAGCTGTCATCACGGGCTCTCCCAGATCTCTAGGTTCTGAGCACCCCAATTGAGACACAGCCAGCTGTAGAAACATTGAATGGGGTAGGGTCGGGGGAGGACAGGACAGTGAAGACAAAGCAGCAAGTTCAGATAGTGGGGGGAGAGTTGACAATGGCCAGGCAGTTGCATGTCTTGGCCAATAGGGGTCGCCGTCAACCCCCTGCAGCTTGGTTTGGCAGGTGGAAGAGGCCAGCCGCAGCCTGTGAGAGGGTCTGAGAGACCGGGCACTGGCTCGTCCCCTTCTGCTAAGCACGGCTCTAAGCGCGTCGCGAGGAACCCGATGAGGCAGGTACTGTTTCATCACCCCATTTTACAGAAGGGACCATTGAGTCCAGCCAACTGCTCTTCCACTGGGGTCTAGAGCCCCACCTAGAATGCCTGTCTATAGCAGCAGCCCGCTGGTTCCTTCCGCCTCCGAGCGTGCGGCAGTATTCTTCCAACCTTTATGTTTAAGCTCAGCGGCTTCCTTTCATTCGTTTATTCACTCTGGCGCTCCACCAGGAGCCCAGGAGCATTGCTGTGTGCTGAGACTGGGGGGACAAAGCGTCCAAGGAGCCTGCCCCAGGAGCTTACGGCTCAGCTGGGAGCTGCAAATGCGTGGACGCCCAGCTGCCCGCGGTGAAGGGAGAAGCAGGAGCCAGGGCCAAGATTGGTCCAGGCAGCTGGGCTGTGCCGGAAATAGCAGGGCTATTTGGAAATGGAGCTCGGGCCGGACTTGCCAGGTCAGGTGGCTGTGGGTGGCGTTTCCCCTGTAGGGGTCGGTGCCTCCCTGGGGAAATTCTCGGGGCTGGAGTCACCCCACGCTCCCACGCTGAGGCCCCGGTGCGCTGGTGCGCAGCTGCAGGCTGTTCCGGCTCCTCCCGTCCCCCCACCCCACCCCGACATCCAGAGTGGTGAGCGCTGCCCGCCGAGGCCCTGCCCGCACTCCCCCTGCCCGGATTCCTCAGCAGTCAGGCCCGCTCCTGGGACCTGTCCGGCAAGGCTTGGAAGCCCGGTCCCTGCGGACCTGCTAGTTAATGAGTTCTGCAAAAACTAGGTCTGTGCGTAATCGAAGTGGGAGTGCAGGGTGCACGCGGGCCCTGCATGAATTCAGTCCAGTGGGCAGAGGAGCCGGGTGGGCTCCGCGCGCTGCTGCAGGACCCGCGGAGCGCTCTGGGCGCATCCATTTGCAGGCCCGTTGCTTCTCAGGCCCTCGGCCCCATGTGGCAGCCCGTCTCCAGTCTGCCCTTCCTGTCTCCTGCTGCCACGCGGAGGCGCTGGGTATCTGTGCCCTCTGCCCACCCCCACCGAGCTGCCTGATGGTCGCAGGCAGCATTGAATGACTGCTCCGGACTACAGCGGGCCTATTGCTTTACTCCCTTCCTACTCTTGGCCATTTTCCTGCCAGACGGGGACAAGTGGGTAGAGAGTAAATGAAGCTGGAATTACAGCAGCGAGCACACAGGTCTGGGTGCAGTGGGGACATTCCACGTGGCTGGAGAATGAGTCCAGATCCCTACAGGCGTGTCCCCTGCGGTCCTGTGGGCCACCAGCCCCAGCACCCCAGGCCTGGCCACCTGCCAGTGTGCGGGGAATGAGACCAGGCCCTGCCTCCTTGCCACTGGGGTGGTCTGAGCATAGGGAATGAAGGCAGGGGGACATTCGGGGAGGGGTCTCTCAGAGTACCAGCCCTTGAGGAGCACAGGCAATGCCAGCCTCTGGCTGCCTTGATCCGAGACGTCAGACCCCAGTAGGAAAGCATGTGGCCTTGCTATGGTTCTCTCCTCTTTGTACTCAAATGCCACCTCTGCTGGGAAGCCTTCCGTGATGACTCCAGAGTTGGTTACTTGTGCTTCCCGGAACTCTGTGTCCACACTGAGCGTGCTGTTGGCCCTTGATGCCCGGCTGCCTCACGAGCCTGTTGCTACTCCTGACTGGAGACTTCCGGTGAAGAGGAGGGCTTGGCATGTGCATGTTTAGGGGTGGTCCTGCTCCTCCCCTGGCTGGAGGTGTAACTGTGTAACTCTTACACTGAGCTCCAGCCGCTGCCAGGCATCTGTGCCTGTGGTGAGGAGTAGATGAGATGCCCCCTCCCTTCTCGCCACCTCCTTTACATCACCTGCTATTTAGGGCACCTGGGTTCTGGGGTCAGACGGACCTGGATTTGAACTTGGCTCCATCTCTTACGACCTCTCTGTGCCTCGGTTTCCTCATCTGTAAAGTGACAATGAGCAGCCCTAGCTTGGGTTTTGTGTGCCGTTCGGTCAGGAGAACACAGTGGGGTGGTGTGTGGAGTGCTTAGCACAGGCCTGGCACAAACAGCCAGCAGGCCGGCGACCGCCGCAGCTCGGGTCGTTGTGAGCTGTGCGAGTTGGGAGGGGCAGAAGTCTCAGGTGCCCTGGTGCCCAGTGGCCAGCGAGGGCTGAGTACAGAAAGCAAAGGGAGATGTTGCATTGTAACCCGGGGAGCGTGTGACAAATGGATTGCTGTCTTGTCACCCTCTGTCATCAAGAGTGCTGAGGACAGGATGCAGAGCCTGGCCAGAGAATGTGGGTCTGGGAAGGCGCCCAGGGGTCCCTGCCCTCCGGAGCTGTCACCGCCCTCCTCGCCTCCCCGCTCTCCCAGCCTCTGGCAGAGGCAGGTGAGCTGGAGGTGACAGACGCGCAGCCACTGATAGCCAGAAACTTAACCCAGACGGAAAGAAAATCCATGGCTGCCAGCTCCCACGGACGCTGGAGCAATTGCTAGAGAGTCAAGGTCGATGGCCAGGCAGACGGGGAGAACCAAGGGAAGGGCTGGTGCTGGCTGAGGGTGGTGGCTTCCCGAGCTCTGGGCCGGGGTGCGGCCGCAGAAATGGGCAAAGCTGTGAACACCTCGGCCTGCCTTGCTGGCCCAGGGTCCCGTCCATGTGTGCGGCTCCCTGAGATGTGGAGATGCACCCAGCTGACCTTTACTGCGTGTTATGCGCTCCGCTCTCCGTGGGCCAGCCTGTGCGCTGCTCAGCCCTACCCACTTTCCTCAGATGAACCAGGGACGGCCGTGGGCCCTGGGTACCGGTCAGGACCCGAGGTAATGAGCTCCTCTCTCCGTGTCTCCGTGGCCCACGTGGCCTCGATCACTTTGCGTGAGCCTCCTGGATCAGCCAAAGGCACTGTCATTGTCGGCCTGGGGTCCAGACAAACAGAACAACCGTTACGTGAACACTGCTGGTCGCAGGAACAGAGGGAGAGACCGAGAGGGACGGGACCCTGCCCAGACTTGGGCTTCCTCCGAGCTGCTGCTCACGTCCCGCTGGGCGAAGCAAGTCGCGTGCCTGCATCTAACTCCCCGTGCGGCACAGGACAAGGCGGCTGCGTTTCGGGGAGGTTGCGTGAATTCGTGTCCCTTAAGCACTTAGAACAGCACCTTGTGCCCAGTGAGCCCCGCGCAGTGTTAGCTGGGACCCCGCTGCTGTCTCTGTTGTTTGCTGTTAAGGACGGGGACCCCAAGGCTCAGGAAGGTGCAGTGACTTGCTCAAAGCCAGGGCCCGGGCTGGGGAAGCCCAGACAGAAACCCGTGACAGCCGGTGGCCTCTTGGTGCTGTCCTCAGGGCCCGAGTCCCGGCTGTTCAAGGAACAGGGCCAACTCAGGAACGGACAAGCCCCACTCTCTACTCCCAGAGAGGAGCCAGGTGTGTGTGTGCCTGTGTGTGTCTGTATCTGTGTGTGTGTGTCTCTGTGTATCTATGTGTGTGTTTGTGTGTGCTTACATGTGTCTGCATGTGTGTTTCTGTGTGTCTCTGCGATTGTGTGTATCTGTGTGTGTCTGCATCTCTGTGTGTATGTATCTGTGTGTCTGTGTGTGCGTATCTGTGTGTATGTGTCTGTGTGTCTCTGTGTGTCTTTGTGTGTATGTATCTGTATGTCTGTGTGTGTATCTGTGTGTCTCTCTGTGTGTGCTTGCACACACCTGTGTGTCTGTGTGTATGTGTCTGTGTGTGTATATTTCTGTGTGTGTCTCTGTGGTTGTGTGTATATCTGTGTGTGTCTGTGTGTCTACATATCTCTGGGTCTATGTGTATGTATCTCTGTGTGTGTGTCTCTGTGTGTTTGCATGCATCTGTGTTTGTGTGTGTGTGCACGTGTGACCAACAGACATGGAACAGAGAGAGACAGGCATGGAGCAGACAGGCCCCTCGGGAGCCAGCTCAGCAGACTGGTGGAGGCAGGGTACGGGGGGACCCCTGCAGACCCCTGCAGAAGCGGCTGTGGCTCCTGCTCCCGGGACTCAGGCAGGCCTGGTGGGGGAGGTGGTGTCTGCTGGACTCCCCAGCCTGGAGTCGGAGACGGGGGAGGAGAGTGAGAGCGTCTGCTGAGGGTGTCTGGGGCAAGAGCGAGGCCGCGGTCTGTTCTGACCAGAGCGCACTGCCACGAAGGGGCACACACGGCAACTGCCGGCCACTCCCGCACTGCTGGCAGCAAGGACCAGAGGCTTATCATGGCATTCCGGCAGATGGCAGCAAACGCCAGGACCCAGTGCTGGGCTGGGGATTCCCTCGGTCCCCGCTGCTGGCTGGGCGCACTGTGTCCCTCTGTGGAGGTGTCCCCTCCAGATGTTGCTCCCGGGACTTCCACAAGTCCCTTCACTGAGGTCCCCAGGTAAAGGCTTCCTGCATGCCAGGTGTGCCCCATCTGAGCCAGGGTCACACGGTCCCAGGCGGTCATGGCTCAGCTCTCTCCGTCACCCCGAGTGAGCCATCTGTCTCCAGGCTGAACCCCAACGATGCAGAGTGCTTCCTCCAAGAGGCTACTCTGGCCCACAGCAGCTCAGAAAACCCCCCGACGCTGCTGCACAGCCCTCAGGGGAGTTACCCTGAGCAGGAGGGCCCAGGAGCGGCCCGGACGCCGTCAGTCCTGGGGAGGCAGGAGCCAGGTGAGGGGAGTAGTGCAGGCAGCAGGGTGGCACCTCTGGCCTTCTTGTGGCAGCTCCCAGGATCTCCGTGAATGCTGTGCTGGGATTGGGTGGGCTCTATGAGCCTGGGGAGGAGCGCGAGGACCCTGGGTGTCAAGTGACAGCGACCAGCGGGCGCGCTGGCTCCTCATGGCTGCCCCCTGCAGTGTAAGGGTGTTGCCTCGACTTTCCCATTAGTCTGTGCGCTCTTGGCCAAGGCTTAGCCCCTCGAGTCTCTGTCTGTGTGGGCACAGCCACGTGGGAAGACACAGGAAGTAGCTGGGGAGGTCCCTGAGCTGAGCCGGGCTGGGTGGTCTCGACCTGGAGACCGCCTTTCGGGCGGGACCCCTGGCTTCCCCTGCAAGGCACGCCCGCCAGTAGCAGAGAAAAGTCTGACTTACAAGGATTTTAGAAAACACCATTTTACTCTTTTTTATTTTTTTCCAAAACGTAAGCGAGTAATCGAGAACATTCCTCCCGAGTCCAGCGCTATTTCCTCTCCAGTTGGCTGCCCCGCAAGGCAAATCCCAAGCCTGCTTTAATGAATATAGAAAACTCACTTGTCATTAGTTGGACAAAAGCTAATGGAGTGGAGTCCTTGAGGACAGTGGGTCTCTTGAGCAAATTAAACACTCCCCTTGCAATCTCTACTGCAATGTTCAATTGTTTACCAAAGTCTGCCTTCCCAGGTAGCATTAAGGTGAAATTTCCCAAGTTCTGGCCATTAGATCAGGAGATTTTATTGAGCGGTTTTGTTTTGAAGAGAAAAAAGGCATATCGGGTAGGGTTTGCAGAGGGGCCCATAAATATATTTCACCTCTGGTGTCACTCTGGCCTCCGCTCGTGGCAGACATCGCTAATCAATCATGCGCTCCCGCCTATTAACTCCAAACAAACCACCTGCAAAGCAGGGCACAGGGTATGTGGGTCTCTGTGCGGGGCAGAGGGATGAGCCCTGGGCAGGGCGTCAGAGAGCTCCGCCCGTCATGCCCTGTGACTTTCCTCTCTCTGAGTCCAGCTCCCACTTTGCTCCACTGGGCCACCATCGCTTACCGGCTGCCTGAGGCTGTGGCAAGCACAGAGCTTTCCAGAGCTGCGGGCACGGCTGCACCTGCTGCCCCGTCAGGGCTGTCCTGGTGGCATAGCCCATCTTCTGCTTTTTTTTTTTTTTTTTTTTTGACAGGCAGAGTGGATAGTGAGAGAGAGAGAAAGGTCTTCCTTTGCCGTTGGTTCACCCCCCAATGGCTGCTGCGGCTGGCGTACTGCGATGATCAGAAGCCAGGAGCCAGGTGCTTCTCCTGATCTCCCATGAGGGTGCAGGGCCGAAGGACCTGGGCCATCCTCCACTGCACTCCCAGGCCACAGCAGAGAGCTGGCCTGGAAGAGGAGCAACCGGGACAGAATCCGGTGCCCCAACCGGGACCAGAACCCGGGGTGCCGGTGCCATAGGCGGAGGATTAGCCTATTGAGCCGCGGCACCAGCCCTTCTGCTGTTCTACAGAATACTTGAGACTGGGTCGTTTATAAATGAGAACAGTTTATTTGGGCTTGTGGTTCTGGAGGCGGGGAAAGCCAAGAACCCGCCATGGCTCCTGGGAAGGGTGAGCAGGTGTGCTTGGAAGAGACAGAACCAGAGGGGGGCCTTGCTTTATAGCAACCCCTGTCCCTGCAGCTCATTGAACCCCATGACAGCAGGGAAGATGTCAGTCCCCTCTTCACCATTAAAGTCCCCAGACCACCCCAATGGCCATGGGATTTCATGCTGTTTTGCAGGGGCTAGACCACGAGAAGTGGGTGCACCTGGACGCAGCCATGTGGTACGTACTGTGAGGAGGAGAGCTAGCTCCTCACGACAGTTGTTGATGTCCAGGTCCCGTGCGACCACGTGCCAGCCTGTGGGTGAGGGATGCGACTTGGGAGGATGTCTTGGGCTTAGCATTCCCAGGGCAGGGTCAAAAGCAAGGATGGAGAAAGATGGAGCATGAACACTTGACAGGCAGAGTAGACAGTGAGAGAGAGAGAGAGAAAGGTCTTCCTTTGCCATTGGTTCACCCTCCAATGGCTGCTGTGGCCAGCGCACTGCGCTGATCTGAAGCCAGGAGCCAGGTGCTTCTCCTGGTCTCCCATGCAGGTACAGGGCCCAAGCACTTGGGCCATCCTCCACTGCACTCCCGGGCCACAGCAGAGAGCTGGCTGGAAGAGGGGCAACCGGGACAGAATCCGGCGCCCCGACCGGGACTAGAACCCGGTGTGCCGGCGCCGTAGGCGGAGGATTAGCCTATTGAGCTGCGGCGCCAGCCTGCTGTTTTTGCTGTGAACTGGAGCGAGAACCTGCAGAAGGGAGCCTTGTCTTGGGTGGCAGAGATTCTCCAGTCAGCAGTGGTCTCTGCAGGAGCCTGAGTGGGAGACGGCCAGCAAACTCGGATGACCTCGCACGGGCTTGTGTTGTGAGGAGCCTTACGAACAGCATGAGTTTGGAAGCGGACTCACCGTTGACTGCCTCTGTGTCCTTGGGCAAGCCATTGCGCTGCTCCGGGTCTCAGCTTCCCCGTCTGGGGAGCAGGTGCAACATCCCCTTCAGAGGGTTCTTGCGGGCACTGAGTGAGGTCACACATGTAAAAATGCAAGGCACACAGCAAGCAAGGAGCGTCAGCCACCTGCTGGGTATCCGGCCCAATTATGCCTCCACAAACGTTTACAGAATGGAATTCAGTGCAAATACCCCGAAGAGGAGCTTTCCAAGTGCCGGAAACATTTTTATATTTGTGCAGGGAGAAAACAAATATTATTTGTCCTAAAACAGTGAGGAGCATGTTAAAGGCTCAGAATGAGGGCGTTGAAAATTGAATAACTTCACTTGCAGACATTGCATCAATTTCATTCAATTTGTAAGCCCTCGTCTCTGAGTTCAGGAGGAAAAATGAATTCATCTCAATCAATCAGCCTGTTCCTGGGTGGTTTGGGGGAAGCCACCCTCTCTCAAAGGCCCCAGAGGCCCAGCCTCGCCTGGAGCAGAGCCTCTGGAACTTGGCTGTTTTTGCTGTGAGCTGGAGAGAGAACCTGCATTGTCCTTGTCCATGTTATTTCTCTGTACTCCCAAGTCGTGCCCTGCAAGGGATGGCTTTGGGTGGGTGTCTCAGCCTCACGTCTGGGGGCCTTCAGTGAGGGCCAATGAGGACATGCCCTGGCTGCTACCATGGCCACGGCTCAATGCCATGGGGTAACACCCAAGTATAGGCTGAAGGAAATTCTAGGTGGTAACCACCATCTCCTTGAGCTCTCCTTATCTCTGCTTTACCATACTTAATCCAAGTCGCCCCTGGCCACGGTCAAGTACAGAAACATTGTGTCTCTGGACCGACATCTGTGTGGAGGAACTGTGGCACCAAGCCCCCAGTACCCACCTTGTCATTCTTCTCTGTCCCGTAAGTAAAAGGGGTGAAACCAGAAACAGAGAGATGAACAAGAGGCCCTGAACACAGACGCCACTGAGCAGGGCCGTCCTCTGCTGTGTGTTTATCCTCTCTCCCCTTCTCGAACAGGTTGGGTCTCCTGGGTTTCACTGGGATTTTATTCTTTTTCTCTCTTTTTAATGATTTGTTAATTAATTTATTTGAAAGTTAGAGCAACTGAGATAAAGGGAGACACACACACAGAAAGAGAGAGAGAGAGAGAAAGAAAGAAAGAGAGAAAGAGAAAAAGAGAAAGAGAGCGAGCTTCCACCTGCTGGTTCACTCCCCAGATGGCCACAACCACGAGAGCTATCCGGGCCAAAGCCAGGAGCCTGGAACTCCATCCTTGTCTCCCACCTGGGTGGTGGGGGCCCGAGTACCCAGGCCATCTTGCGCTGCCTTCCCAGGCTCATTAGCCAGGAGCTGGATTGGAAGTGGGGCAGCCGGGATTTCAACTGGAATGCTGATGTGTCCCAGGTGCAGCTGAACCTGCTGAGCCAAAATGCTGACCCCAACTGGGATTCCTGAGCTTCTAACTTTCCACTGGGACCTGTGTTTCTAGAAATTCAGTGTTCAGGTACAAGAGTTACTGTAGAAGAGCCACCAGCCCCAGCGCCAGGCCACTGACTGCTGTATAGCCATGGGCAGGTAAGAACATTTGAATGAGGCCAAGACAGGCCGGAAGCACAAGGCTTGGCTGGGGCGGGAGAGACGGGCGTTCCCAGGGGGCCGATGTGTGTGTTTGTCCTGCCCTGGCTCCTTGATGAAAGGGGAAGGAGGAAGAAGGCCTGGACAGAGACTGCAGGCGGGGAAGACAGCCGCCCCTCCCCCCGCGGAACAAGCTCTGATTGTGTTAAATGTTGACGATTCTCCTGCCACAGCCCTCAGGGACAGATTCTGGCAAAGATGATGGATAGGCCCTGGAGTGGGAAAGCAGATGATGTTTGAAAGTGCAGCGCTGGGGGCGAGCCAGGCTGGGCTCATCCTGTTTGTTTTTGTTTGTTGCAGCTGCATTACGTTTAAGGGAGGTGGAGGGGAGGTTGCAAAATGAGCTTTTTTTTTTTTTTCTTCTTTTTTTTGTCTGCTGTGAATGCTCAGGCTTTGGGGAAGTTGGTGTTTAGCATCCTGTGCTGCGGTGTCAGAAGCCCCCACTCTGCATCAGGCCTGGTGGGGTCTCTGGGGACACAGAAAGAAATCAGATGTGGTCCCTGCCCTGAGCGCCTCAGTGTGGGGGCGGGGAGACAACGTGCACAGACGAGGGGCCGCAGAGTGACTCAGGCTGTGATGGGGCAGGCGCTGGGGGGCTGGGTAAGGGAGGGAGGGAACCACGGAGGGGCTTGTGCATGACGGTGTGTGTGTGCTTGCACATTTGTGTGTGCGTGTGTGTGTGTGTGCATGTGCGTGTGTGATTGTGTGTGTGTGTTCACATGCAGCTGGCGAAGATCAGAAAGGGGTGGGGGAGCCCTACATGCTTGCGCCTGAGAGGTCTGGGTTATCGCAAGGTTTCTTCTGTCCTGCCTCGTGTTTGGCTGCCTGTGCCTTTGCGGGGACCGGTGCGTGCTTTATCTCAGACTCACCACGCTCCGTGGTTTCATCCCCATGCTATAGAGGAGGGCACTGAGATGCTTGCACAGTCCCAGTTTGGTTGTTCACAGCCACTCATAACCCGCGACGATGGGCGCTGGAAGTCTGGCTGCGGCCTGTGAAACACAGTGGAGGACGAGGTGGGGCACTCGGGAGCCTGTGAGTGAGCGGCAAGGCGGCCTGGCCGTGGCCCTCCTTCAGAGGGAAGGCAGGAGGGATAGTGATGGTCGGAAAGGAAGCAGAGCCCACTCGCGGAGCCGTGAATGCCAAACCTCTCTCCTGAGGGCACTGAGAGTCTTGGAATGGTTTTAGCAAACTGAGGCGCGCAGTGAGGTTGAATTTTAGGTGGAAGCGTGGCTCAGGATAGGAGGGAGAGCACCAGTCACAAGGGAACGGAACCTGGGCTGGCACTGTGGCTCAGCAGGCTAAGCCTCCACCTGCGACCTCAGCATCCCATATGGGTGAGGGTTCTAGTCCCGGCTGCTCCACTTCCAGTGCAGCTCCCTGCTGATGGCCTGGGAAAGCAGTAGAAGAGGGACCAAGTCCTTGGGCCCCTGAACCCATGTGGGAGACCTGGAAGAAGTTCCTGGCTCCTGGCTTCGGGTTGGCCCAGCTCCATTGCAGCCATCTGGGGAGCCAATCAGCAGATGGAAGATATTTCTCTCTGTCTCTCCCTCTCTCTCTCTGTAGCGCTACCTCTCAAATAAATAAATAAAATCTGAAAAAAGGGGGGCCTGGCACTGTGGTGTAGCAGGTAAAGCCGCAACCTGCAGTGCTGGCATCCCATATGGGCACCGGTTCAAGACCTGGCTGCTCCACTTCCCATCCAGATCTCTGCTATGGCCTGGGAAAGCAGTGGAAGATGGCCCAAGTCTTTGGTTTCTTGCACCCTTGTGGGAGACCAGGAAGAAGCTCCTGGCTCCTGGCTTTGGATGGGCGCAGCTCCAGCCATTGCAGCCATTTGGGGAGTGAACCAGCAGATGGAAGACTTCTCTCTCTGCCTCTGCCTCTCTGTAACTCTGCCTTTCAAATAAACAAATCTTAAAGAAAAATGGCCACAGGACCATAGGAGAGAGGATTCCACGCACTTCCTGTGCCCTTGAGGTCCAGGGGTCCGTGGAGGAGCATTTCCAGGGGGCAGGGAACTACTTCCTGCTGGGTGGAGTGGAGTGGCACCATGTGGCCCTTGGAGTTTGATTATAGCAGGCTGGGGCCAGGAACGCCACATGGCATTGGACTTGGGGGTCAGGAAGAAGAGAAGTGGTATGATAATGGAAAGGCTGGAGCACAGACTTCGGCACCAGACAAACCTGGCTTCCACTCCCACTGAAGCACTGGAGCACAACTGAGTAGCACCAGTGTGTGTCGAAAGGGGGATAAAGCCGGGCACGTGTGCCTTTTGGGGTTTCTCAGGAGGCACGGCTGAGTTCCCGGAGAATGCCCCGTGGCGGGAACAGCCGCATCAGGAGCTGTGGCCTCACCAGTGACCCCAGGAGCCATGCCTGGTGTGGCAGCGGGTGCAGGGCTCTCCCGTGCTCCATGCGCCTCCAGGCTGAGCAGGCGGCTCCAGGCCTCCACTCCAAGGCTCTGCGTTTCAAACACCAACCAACTGCTTCTCCTGCTGCCGCCAAAGCCCCGCGGAAGCAGCTTTTGTGTTCCAAGCATCCGTGCCATTCATCACCGTGAAGCGCAATACCTGGGGGGAAGCGGAAGCGGAGACTCCGGGAGTCTCCGAAGACGGGGCTGAGCCTGCCCGCGCCGAGTAATTAGAGCCGTTTGCTGCACACACGCCTGATCTTTATTTAAGACATTTCACTTAGGTACACATCGAAGATATGCAGAAGTCAGCTCAGTCGGAGCCGTGCAGATGAGCAGACAATTGCCTGCCTCCGTTTTGGAATAGTTTTAACAGCTAAATGAGCGCCGATCACCCTAGCGGGCGTATGTGTATGGAGGCTCCCCACGTGCGAGGCCACTGCCTTCGGCACTTCAGCTCGTGTCATTCTCCTAACAACCCTTTGTTGTTTCTCGGACTTGATGGGAGGAATGTCCAGGACCCCCATATAACGGAGTCTTAAGCCATCTTTAAGGGGAAGTGGGAGTAAACGGAGAGTATTTACGTGGTGAGACCAAGAAAGTGCTGGCGGCTAACTCGCAGCCCGAACCTGTGACGCCCAGGTGCTGAGCTCAACATGCCGCCCCTCAGTCTCAGTGAGGGCAGCCGAGGTGCGGAGAGGTGGATAACGCTCTGAACACAGGGACCGCCAGCAGGTGCAGAGCCTGGGCGTGAACCCAGAGGGTCCCCCATACTGCCTCTTGGCATCTGGTGGCCTCAGTGGCCCAAAACACTGGGAAAACCATGAGAGGAAGACTTCTCTGTAAGTTCTAGATCAACAGAATCAGGACAAGGGGGTAAGCCACAAAGGCACATTAAAAATATATATACATATAAAATTTATTTTTTTATTTGAAAGCTGTGAGAGAGAGAGAGAGAGAGAGAGCGAGCGAGCTCTTCTACCCACTGGTTCACTTCCCAAATGGCTGCAATGTCCAAGGCTGGGCCAGGAGCCAGGAGCTCTGTCCAGGTCCCCCACACAGGTGCAAGGTCCCAAGCACCTTCTCAAGTGCTGCATTGGAAGTGGAGCATCCAGGATTTGAACCTGGACTCATATGGGCTGCCAGGGCTGCAAGCAACAGCTTAACCTACTGCGGCACTACAGGGCCAGCCCCAAGAGGCAGATTTTGACTCCACTTGAGAAGGAACTACCCCTCAACTAGTGTTGCTCTGAGATCAGACAGAGCGCTGGTAGGTAGTAAGTTCCACAGCTCCAGAAATCCTCAACAGTGTGGGTGGTGGACCACTCCCAGAGAGACGTGGGGAGCTTCTTGCCAGGGCTTGCAGTGGGCACAGGTGGCCTCTGCTGCCCCTTAACAAGACGATTACATGAACTCAGCAGCTGACCCCACACCTGAACAAGGCAGAATGTTTCTTTTAATTTTTTGAAAGATTTATTTATTTATTTGAAAGGCAGAGAGAGAGAGAGAGAGAGAGAGAGAGAGAGTTCCTCCATCTGCTGGTCTATTCTCCAAATGGCCGCAATGGCTGGATCTGGGCCAATCTGAAGCCAAGAGCCAGGAGCTTCTTTAGGGTCTCCCACACAGGTGCAGGGGCCCACGCACTTGTGCCATTTTCTACTGCTTTCCCAGGCCATAGCAGAGAGCTGGATTGGAAGTGGAGCAGCTGGGACTTGAACCGGTGCCCAAATGGGATGCTGGCACTGCAGATGACAGCTCCACCGCTACACCACAGCGCTGGCCCCAGTGTTTTAAACTAATGCATGCAGCCTCTCCCTCCTTAGAACCTGGAGCGGACAAAGCCATCGGTGCTGTGAAAGCCCAGGGCATTTCACCAGAGCCCAGTGCCATCACCAAGTTCAACTCAGAGCAGAGGTTCTCCGACACGTGATAATGATGCAAATAATTGCTGCTATCTAGATGACCGATTAACCCAAGTTCACGTCATCGATTCTAGGCAGTGTAGTTCCCATTAATCAGACCTACAATTCTATGATTTTCTTTCCTAACTTAGGGGATTTATCCAACTTTTAAAGCAGAGGAATGCTGTTGCTTAGCTGCACACTTCTTGCTGCAGCCACAACAGGATGGGCAGCTGGGGCGCCACTCGTGGAGCCAGAGCAGTGTGGCAAGAGGCAAGGACCTGCGTGGTGAGCAGCAGGCATGGGTGGGGGAGACCTGGCTGGTGGAGGGGTCTGAGGAATGTGGCTCTGCCAGGAGCACGCCTGCTGGCAGCAGGTTGAAACAGAAGCGGTGCTGAGCCCACGGAAGTGTCCCGTTCCTTCGTGGCCAAAGTCCAGGGCAAGGAGCAAGCAGCTGGTCAGAAGCGATGGAACAGGGCAAGCAGGGAGGAATGGTCTAGAAGAGATGTGGCACCGCCTCAACTCTGGGCTCTGGTCTGTCTCTCCTGGGGCAGGAGACAATCCTGGTAGGTGGGCTTAGGCTCTGGGGACAAGGGCAAGAGCTCGGTGATAACTGATGAGAGCAAAAAGGCCCAGCTCGGGGTCCCAGGTGCCCCTAGTAACAAGCCCAGAGCAGTGGCTCCCGCTCTCGCCCTGCAGACAGCTGCAGCCCAGGCTTCCAGGGCCAGCACTGCCCTGGACTCAGCCTGAAGCCCTGGCAGCATCTCTCCCTTCTCTGGCCTCAGCTCCTCGTCTCTGCAGTGCGAGAATTGGTCCAGATATTTCCAAGGGAACCGTCGGTTCCACGCCGCAATGGCGGCAGCTCGCGAACATCTTCATCTCCTTCCAAAGGGCTGACAGGGAGGTTAGACCAACTTGGAGTCTCTCTGTTGTGCAAGGATGGAGGATTTCTATGAGCTGGAATTTTTGATTTACAGTCCCCAGAGCGATGCAGTGTAGGAGGGAATAATCAGCTCTTTAGACTCGGAAGCTCTGGCAAGGAGTGATGGATGTCCCCAAGGGAAGGTGCATCTAGGAAGGTGTCCCCAAGTCCCCAGCAGGAATCAATCTCCCTGTCCCCCAGACACATGACATCTGCCTAATAGCATTTGCTACCTGTGTTCTTTTTTTTTTTTTTTTAGATTTATTTATTTTGAAAGCCAGAGTTACAGAGAGAGAGAGAGAGAGAGAGAGAGAGAGAGACAGCCCGAGCTGGGTCAGGCCAAAGCCAGGAGCTTCATTCAGGTCTCCCACATGGGTGCAGGGGCCCA